GACGCTTCTTCTGAGTCACCCTCCAACGTGGGCACTTCCATGTCCATCTTCTCGTCCTCTGCGTTCGACGTATCTTCATCGTCAAAACCTAGACCTAACTTGATCATCCTATATATTCTGGAAGCATGCACTTGCGGATCTTCGAGGGCAAAACCGGACGACAAGAGTGCAGTCTCAAAGAGCAACATGACTAGATCTTTCACCGACTTATCGTGCTTATCTGCCTCAGCCTTTTGTCTTAAGTTTTCCATGATAGGATGATCGGGATTGATCTCGAGGTGCTTCTTCGCGGCCATGTATCCCATGGTGGATGTGTCTCGAAGTGCTTGCGCCTTCATGATTCTCTCCATGTTCGCCGTCCAGCCATACTGCGATGTGACGATACAGCAAGGAGAGTCAACCAATCTGTTAGATACTACAACTTTCTCCACTTTCTTATCTAAGATGTCCTTCATAACTTTACAAAGGCTCTCGAACTTGGCCTTGTCTTCCTCGCGCTTCTTTTTCTCATCTTCGTCTTCCGGAAGTTCTAAGCCCTCTTTTGTAACAGATACCAACTGTTTTCCATCGAATTCTTTCAGTTGCTGGACGACGTACTCGTCAATGGGCTCAGTCATGTACACAACCTCGAAGCCACGCTTCTTCACGCGTTCTACGAACGAGCTATTGGCTACCTGTTCCCTGCTCTCGCCAGTGATGTAGTAGACGTGCTTCTGGTTCTCCTTCATTCTACCAACATAATCTTTAAGTGAGCACATCTCATCGCCGGATGCAGAAGTGTGATAGCGAAGCAACTCTGAAAGCTTTTTCCTGTTCTGGCTGTCCTCGTGAATACCCAATTTCAGATTCTTGCTGAATTGCTCGTAACATTTTTTGTAGTTCTCCTTGTCTTCCGACAATTCCTCGAAGAGTTCCAAGCATTTCTTGACAAGATTCTTCCTAATGACCTTCAGAATCTTATTCTGTTGCAGCATCTCACGAGAAATGTTAAGAGGCAGATCCTCGCTGTCTACGACACCCTTGATAAAGTTTAGATATTCCGGAATGAGGTCTTCGCAGTTATCCATGATAAAAACACGACGTACGTACAATTTAATATTGTTCTTTCTCTTCTTATTCTCAAACAAATCGAAAGGTGCACGACGTGGAATGAACAGCAGCGCTCTGAATTCCAACTGTCCTTCCACGGAGAAGTGTTTCACAGCCAAGTGGTCTTCCCAATCGTTAGTCAAGCTCTTATAGAACTCGCCATACTCTTCCTGCGTGATGTCATCCGGATTTCTTGTCCAAATCGGTTTTGTCTTGTTCAACTCCTCATCTTCAGTGTATTTTTCCTTGATCGTCTTCTTCTTCTTTTTCTTCTCTTCCTTAGGCTTATCCTCTTCCTCATCCTCGCCGACATCTTCGATCTTGGGTTTGTCATCCTCTGCCTTTTCTTCTTCCTTTTTCTCTTCCTCTTCCTCCTCGTCCTCGCTCAGTTCCTTGTCACGTTCTTTCTCGACGACGAGCTTGATAGGATAGCCGATGAACTGCGAATGCTTCTTGACGATTTCTTTGATTTTAGACTCCTCCAGATATTCTGTCTGATCCTCCTTAATGTGAAGGATGATCTTGGTGCCCCGTCCGATCGGTTCACCATTGTCGGGACGAACCGTGAAGGAACCACCAGCGGAAGACTCCCACAGATATTGTTCGTCGTCGTTGTGTTTGGAGATCACGATGACTTTGTCGGCCACGAGGTACGCCGAGTAAAAACCTACACCGAACTGTCCAATCATGGAGATATCAGCACCTGCCTGCAGAGCTTCCATGAACGCCTTTGTACCGGATTTGGCAATGGTACCCAAATTATTTACAAGATCGGCTTTGGTCATGCCAATACCACTGTTAAAATGAAGAAAATTCAATTTAAAGACATTATATATTAATACATATATACATATTGCATGTATATATTGGATCTGTTCTTTTTATGTCCCTTTTTACCAATGTAAATTAACTTTAATCTCGGTTTAACTCACTCTTCATCTTTCTCTATTTCTAAGAATTAGAAAAAGATAAAAAGTAAGTTGAACCGAAATTGAAAATTTAACATGGAAACAAGAATTAAATTAATATACTTTTTGTATCGTTTATTTTTTTCTTGTTTTTTTTTTATAGAGAAAGGTGAATGACAGAAATTTTAATTGGAAACAGGCCTATTTCTATAAAAAAAAAATCAATACTTACGAATCAAGAATCGTCAGGGTACGGTCGTTCTTGTTCGGTACGATCTTAATAAACAATTCCTTACACGTATCCAACTTGGATGGATCCGTGAGAGATTCATATCGAATTTTGTCCAACGCCTAAAAAAAATTCATAAAAGATTTAATATCGCGTCATCAACAAGACTCAATTGTTTGTAATTTATTTCCAAATTCATGTAATTATTAATTTTATTTCTACAAATTTGCAAACATAACAAACAGAAAAATTAGAAAACGTTATATATATATCACACAGAAATGATATAAAAAAATTTTTAATCTGAAAAAATATTTTAAAAATTAATAAATATTTACAGGTTATCTTAAATGAGCACAATTGGCACAATTCGCAGTAAATTAATATCACTAAATTTTTGTTAACCTCCATTACTCGCATGAATTTTTAAAATATAATTACAGAGTATTCCTGACTTTAACATATCTCAATTTCCATTGTTCTCTTTCTTCGATGATTTATAATTAAATAAAAATTGATAACATTCTATACATCTTTTAGACAAAAACAAATATGCACACAATTTTTTTTAATATTAAAATGTAGAAAAATTGGAAGAATTATACGAAATATTCCTCATTTTATTTTTAGGTTCTTGGTTTTTTTTATCTGAATGTGTCTCTCCCCCTCTCTCTCTCACAGATTATCTCCGTTTTTTTCTTCCATTTTGAAGGAAAAAAATAGAAAAGACGAATCGTGAAAGTTTAATTAAAAGCAATAAATTCAAGGATAAAATGAAGTAAATGTTTCGTGTAACGCCTCTAATTATTCTATATTTTTGTACCTTTGTGTATTTTCATATATAAAATATATTCCAAAAAAGAAAATCGTTCCTCAAATCTCGTTTTTCTAATTTTAAATTATTTTATATCCATGTAAAAAAAATTTTTTAAATTATAAATTTTGAATTATTCTTTTGTTGCTCCTGAACGCTCAGGATGAAATTTCTAAATGTGACTATATAAAAGTTAAACGAGGTTAATTAACGATAACCTAAGATACTTACATCGGACGAGTTGGAGATCAATTCTCGGATGAAAATCTCCTTATTCGAATAAAAGGTGTTGATGATCAGGCTCATCAACTGAGCGATTTCGGCCTGGAAGGCGAAGGTCTCCACCTCACCGGCGTCCGTCATGCTCACGTCCTCAGGCATTTTTCCACAAAATCAAATTCAAACGGGAAAACACCGAATGCAAGTATTGCAAGCAGTCGTTAGAGATCGTAATCCGAATTAGGGCACACGATGCGCAAAGAATAAATCACTAACAGCTGTCACCTGTCTGATACGAGAGCTCCGTAACGAATGACTCGCTCGCGGCGCGCGGCGTCGCTTTTAAACAAGCACGTCGAACACGAATATTCTAGAAGGCGCCGATGGCGGAAGTTCGTCCGGCTTCTAGAACCTTCTATCAAGCAAGCGTTCCGCGAGCGGGATCGAACGGGAATCTCGTCCACCATCACGAGTCACCTGAGAATTGGAAAAATTATCAAAAAAATTGATGCGTCAAGACGCGAACGATTTTCCAAGCGAGAAACGTCCGCTCGGATTTGGCTGGTCGCCTCGCTCGCGTGACTCATGTGGTTCGCCGGAAGTGACGACATTTTCCGAAGATCTAGAACCATCGCGATAGCTCCCGCGCTCTTCGAAGAGGTGGGGCGTACGCGCGTCGTCCAACGTCTATGTGCACGTATATGTGTGCGTTCATGTATAACGCGATCGACCACGTTCTTTGGAGTATCCAGCCCTTCTTCTCGATATGCCGAGGATGATTTTAGGCGCGTTAAGTGTTTACACGTAAAACTTGAAGGAATATCTTTGGCTCGTTCAGTTTTCTCCAATTTCTTGGGACTGTTTTTGAAAATTTTTTTCGTAAACGTAGATAGTAAAGTGGCCTTGATGAAGGTCTGATTCACGTTTGCAATGTTGAGAATCGTTTCGTCCTCATTCGAATGTTTAAACAAAGACAAATGATGCTCATGAGTATGAGGCTTTTTGCCTCCTATTTCTTGAATTCTTGCTTTTTATTTCTTCCCTGTAAAACTGACGTTATTTATTATTGTCACTTTGATGTCAGAATGACGTCTTTTCATTCATTACGAATTCGATTGTTGTAGCAATAAGATATGGTTATTATAAGGTTTGCTTGATTTATTTATACATCATTCTGTATGTATTTTTCTTCTGAAATTCGTCAATTTTTATTTCAAGCGATAAAAAGACAAAATATAAAAAGAAAAGAATACATACATACACTTATTAAAAAAAGATGATTCGTGGACAAAATAAAGGTTATATAATTATTTTTTTATACACTAAACGTAAAAGCACTTTATAAAATGAAATCTCTAAAATATAATTTTTATTATTTAAATAAATAATTTTTATAATTTATAATTCTCACTGATACATTTATCTATAAATTTTCAATAACTCATCCTTTCCCAGTTTTAAGAATTAAAAAAAGATAAGTTAATCTACATTGGTAGATAACACGGATATTAAAAGGCTGTTAACTCCAAGCACAAATTATTCTAGCAATTGTTATAACTTGCAGCTTGCATCAGCAAATTTAGTGATAATTAACATTCAAAATAATAATGAGAATATTTTCGAAATGAATCGTTATTCATCGTTTTCGCAATTTCGTTTCTAGAAATTTCCTTTTCAAATGAAGAGATTTCCTTTTAGATTTATTACTTGGAATAATCGTCACAATAATGCAGCTCCAACGCGGTCGGTGTCACACTCGATATGCTCACAATCGAAGAGAAGGTTAAGGTTAAGACCGACTGATTAAGAAGATTCGCGAAATCGTCCGTCTGTGATTCATCTGTGCTCATCTTCTTCTGGGAATCATGGATCCCGGCGTTCTTTCGCGGCTGATCCCGCAAAGCAAGGAACAGGTGAGACCAGCCTGTAAGAAATGCGGCTACGCCGGGCACTTAACCTATCAGTGTCGCAATTTCATCAAGATCGACCCCAACAAGGAGATCGTGCTGGACGTGAGCAGCACGAGTTCGGACAGCGACGAGAATTACGTCACCCCGTTGACGGAGCTGCGGGAGCGCGAGTTGCGGAAAAAGCTGCGAGTGGCGAGGAAAAAACGGCGGGAAAAGAAGGTCAGGAAGAAGCGTAAAAGGAAACGCGAGAGCTCGGAGAGTAGCGAGTCCTCATCGTCGTCGTCCAGCGAGGAGGACAAGAAGCACAAGAAGGGAAAGAAGAGGAAAAAGAAGAGTTCTAAAAGCAAGAAACGCAAGAAGCACAAGCGGCACGACGATGACAATTCGTCTGATGGGAGCGAGGCAAAAGGTGACAGGGGGAGAAAAATGAATTGTTCATGAGAATTCCCGATTCATTTCCAGTTCCTTCTATCATTGAATATTGAATGACGCGTGACGGTGGCGTTTTTTAATCGTATTACATTCGCACCCGTTTTTCTCATCCATAAAGGAATCGCCACCTTACTGTGTCTACTGACTTGAACTGACTTGAACTGTAAATAGGAGCATGTATTTTTTTCTACTTGTATAGAGAGTGACATTTGTAATAAAGAGTTGTAATTCACAAAAACTGCTAAGATTTTACGAAAGGAATCATACATGTTTTTTTTTTACTATATTTAATTTTATCTTATTTTATCTAATCTCATTTGTGACACGATAAACGTAAATTGAGAATGCTTATTTAGTCTTTTTTCTGTTACATTTTATAAAATATAATAGTTGTTTTTATTTATAAATTTCTAAGAACAAGATGTTAATGTCAATTATAAACAGTTTCTTTTGAAAATGATAGTTTTTAAAATGATTTTCTAAAATTTGGATTAAAACGAGAAACAATATAATCTGCAAAATTATTTTTATGATACAAATTAAAATTCAGTCTTTTTCATCTTTTTCATGGAGCCTTAAATAGCTGTTTAAAAGAAACAGTTATTTGCATATTTTTAGAAGCACGTTGATAATTCTTAATGAACTTTCTACAATAAGTCATTACTTTTATTTACTTAAGCTTAATCTTGAGAAAGAAACAATAAGAAATTAATCAATCACAGTCATGTGAAAAGAATAGTCATGATTGATAAATTTTTTATGGTTTAATACTTGAATAGTTCAAGTATGGCTTATTATTGTAGAAAGCACATAATATTTATTTAAAAATGAGTATTAGAATGAATTATGTCAAGAAAATGGATGATGCAAGAAAACGTTTGACATGATTTTTCATCACATTCTATAGAATTTTGAAATCTAAAATGCAAATTTTTAAAAGTGAATTTTTAAAAAGTGGAATGACTTAATTTTCTACGTTATATAAATATAAAGAGAACAAGTTATTTTTCAAAAGTGATATTCTTAATCTTAGTTACAAAATTGCGTCATACAAAATTGCAACGTCATTAAAGCATTATAAAAAGTAATGCTAAAAATAACAGTTCATCTTTATAAAGAAATAGCACAACTGCATCTGTAATATGCAAATTAAAGATGTTTGTCTATTATTTTCCGTCACACTCCACAGATTTATAATCTAAAGAAAATATTTAAAAAAAATATATATTAAAGTCGGAGCGATGCTACATTAAATAATTTTTAATCTGTTCGAAAATAATGATTTCGAAGAAATAATAGCAGATAGATATGATAGCTACAAATTATGTTTTTTCTTGGTTTTTTCATCACATTCTACAGAATTATAAAAAATTCTTAAGGAAATAATACTGCAATTTTCTAAAAGCGTAGGAAGTGTGGATAGGGATGCCTACATCAAATAGTTTCCTAACCTATTTCATTAAAATTATTAAATCTGTTTGTGTTGCTTGAAATCTCTAAAATTGTATTTAAAAGGAGATATATATATTTGAAATATATATTTGGATATTGAAGAAAGAGAAAACCGAAACATTGTAAGTGCAATAAGTCCAACAATAGGCCTGTTCTTTTTGGCTGAACTTTTGCAGTTCATTTTTTTTCCTTTTTTTCTTCAGGAGAATCGAAGAGGAAGAAAAATGCATTGATGCAAAAGTTCAACCAAAAAGAACAGACCTAACGGCTATTCCACACAAACCTGCATAACCACATAATCATATGCATAAAGAAAATTATCCAATCACATTTCTGCCATAAAGACAACATAAAATACGATTGGATGATTTTCTTTATGCACACGTTTATGCAGCTATCAAATTTGTGTGGATTGGCCCTAATATGAACAGACTATAACAAAATGAGAGAAATTTGATAACTGCCGTTTTTTATTGGCCAATCCAATGCGTCGAAATGGCGAAGTCATGAACGCGATTGGTTGGCGTCGGCCAATCCGGTGCGCCAAGATGCCATCAATCTTTTAGGATAATCCTAAACAATACTGAGTTTATGTAAAAATTGTTATTATCTCTTTCTATTATCTCTGAAGAGTTATCGCGATTAAATACTCCAAATTAATTTTAGATTTAGAATTATCAACGAGAAAATTTGTATTCTATAGTAATTATCATAAAAAAATATCTAAGAAAAAAGAATTCGTTTAACTTATTGTTTCTAACGTCGTTTATCTTCTTTCTACTAAGAGGTAGGTTATGTTGCCACGAATGTTATTGTAATATTAAATACATTATGCAATTTTTTACATTATATGATGTTTCAGATTATCCTAAAAGGAGATTAAAACGATAATGTTGTCGCCTTTTGCTGTGTCAAGTGTAAGCAGAAACATTTCTACTTCAACCCCTGTGAGTCAGATAAAATTGAGTCGATTGAGAGTAATGGATAACAGCGAAGCAAGCTATGATGGAGGGTAGACCATCATACACATATGTAACAAATGCAGAATGGAATACATCGGTAAGACAATAAATGAAAGACTATTTAAAAGGTATTATCATTTTATAGGAAATATATTTAAACATTGCTATACGTATATTATTCAGGTGATAGAATTTTAATTGCTATAAGAGATGAAAAGAAAAAGGATATATTGATTGAATTGAAACAGCAACAATTTCTTAAAGTTTCCAAATTTGATAGCAACAATCTGATACTCATAGACGACAATGGCACACCTCTAGGTACAAGAATACAGGTGTCTATTCTACACATATTCCAAAAATGAAAGAACAGACTCACAGCAAAGGAGATTATATTAAACTAATAGCGATTGCATTCCAGATTTGTATAGTGTATCTATCTTGCCTACCATTGTAATATATGTATTAAATATTTCATTTTAATGTTAATATTGTACTTATTTAATATTTACTGCAAAATTTGTAGTATGAAAGTATGTTACTCATACATCTCTGTGTATTTTATTGTATATTAATATTTTAATAATAAAATATGTCACATTCAAACTATTTTTTGTTATATATGCATTAGAGGTATGTTCCACTTAACACATGTTTGCAACGTTCGTGTCATCATATTATTTCGACCTTATTTAATGTTTGAACACAAGAATGAAATGATCTTATGTATATGTATGTTGATTTGACATAAGTAGCGCTAGCAAGTGTAACTTTAGTTCAATTATCAGCCACGCGATGTCTATCACTTTGTATTTAAACGATTATTTAAATTTATTGTCAAAGTTATATTATGCCTATGTTAATTGATTTATGATATGTTTGTTAAAATTTTAACAAATTGCATAATTTTAATTCTTTACCTTTGAATAGAATTTATTATCAAATGTCTTCATCGAATTCGGAAATCAAATTAGTAATGCGAATAATTCTTCAGTTTCCCGAAAGCACTTGTTTCCGATATGATTCCTATATAAGAATAGAATATAGATGAGCATTTCGGATCCTCTGTGAGGATCGGTAGTTTGATATTGGTGAAGAAGGTGCTTCCTGTCCTTAATCTGATAAATTAGACTAGAACAACATGATTTAATTATCAAAATCTTTATTCAATTTAACAGGCTCAGATACAAAATAATATGATATTAAACTGTGTTGCAGCATAGTAGGTCTGGTATAAATAAAAAGCTATAATAAAGCTTTCACACAACCTCATATCAAAACAAAAACAACCCAACTTGGATGGTATGCATAATCGGATCTTATTAGACAATCTATAACTTCTGAAGAAGCGATCGATCTTCGGATTTTTAAGACTGTCTTCTGATCGACTATGAATATTGGCCAATATCTACAAAAAAAAACAAAAAAAAAACAAAATACAAATTATTTACAAGTGAAGAAATTATTCAATCAATAAGATTAATATTAACAGAATATTGATTAACTTACTGACTTGATATAATTTAGGAACTTATAAATACTTAATGTAACAATAGTAAATTTGCTCGTGTTGCGATATTCACTGCTAATACTGAAAATCTATAATACATATCATCTATAATACATGTCTGTGCTGCAGATCAACACTAGCAGTGAATATAAGAACAAAGCCAATATAAATAGTATTACTACTTACCAGATTTACTATGTTGAAAACAGCAATTTGATATCAAAATACAGTTAACAAGAGTCATTGGACAGCAAGCGTTCATAGCGTTCACTATATATGTAATGTAGTGCTTATTATTCAACCAATAACGTTGACTTTTTTGCAAAAACATGCTTATGTTCAGCATAACGCAACATTTTTGCTGTTCAAAAATTTTTGTGATTGTCTAGTCTAAACGACCCGAAATGCACTCAACATCTCGCAAGACATGCTGATACGTTTACTTAACGGTCATTATGGACGCCATCATGGTGGAAAAAAGAAAGATGAGTCACTCCCATTATTCACTACGGTGGAGGGTGGAGGAAACAATGGTGGAGGAAACCATCATGGACTGATAGAAAATGGAGTAGGTACTACAGTCGTATCATCAGCTCAATTATTATCACAGTCGGTATTTGCATAGCGATTGGAAAAATTTCAAATACGTGGAATTATCGAAAGATAGAAAGCTTTAAAGTCTTACGAGAAAATAGAAATCAGTTTCTCACTTGATCGTCATTCCGATTATGGAAGAACGTAACAGTTTTTATTCATGAATCGCTCGCTCTTCATTTTAAGTAAGTATATAATTTTGTTTTTTATCTTTTGTCAAAAAATCTCGTTTTTTTTCGTGTGTTTTTGCATTTACATTTTAACAACGCTTTTACTTGATATTAGCGGTAGAGAATTTAATAGATTGCGTTTCATGATCTTCATAACAGTCTTAACCTAAAAAAATAATGTGAGAAGAGCCACAGATTTTTCTATATTATGAAAATTTATATTCTTTTATATTCGTTATATAGAAATCTATAGCACGAGCTCTTGTAAATAGGTATCATATAACCTCAAGGAGAGAAGACATAAATTTCATCAAAGGGAAACAAGCAGCAAGCTCCAACAAGCTGTTAACTCAAAGATTGAAGAGAACAAGTAATTTTCTCTAAAGAGAAGTATCACTTTATAAATTTTTGATCGCGATGACGCGGCATGCGAGGAATTGCACCGCTGGTGCAGTATACACATATCATGAAAAGAAGAAAGATGCTGCGGCATCAGGTTATGGCACTAACACACAACGAGTAGGAAAGGACTCCGTCAAAGATTTTGACTGTTGTTGCCTGACTCTACAACCATGCAGAAATCCAGTAATAACGTAAGTATCTTATATCACAAATCTTGCACAGGGTATTTATTATTTGTAAAAACTTCAAAAACTTGAAATTTTGAGGGATCCCTTTTTTATCTTTAAAAATCGGGAGTTCCATGAAATTTTTATTATTAAGACTCAAGGAAATTTTTGGAATTTTCTTATATAGAGTAATATTGTCAGTATTTGTTAATATTGACAATATTATTGTAATTGCTATTATGACTTGTTCATGTTTATTTTAATCTCTAATATCTTAACATATTTTTTATTTTTTTCTAGTTATAAACATTAGAGATTAAAATTAATCTACATTGATAGAAATGGACATGTGACTTATATCTATATATTTACATATTTTATTTACAATCAACAATCCATCATTGCAGGAAAGATGGCTATTTATTTGATAAAGAAGCGATATTGGAGTATATCTTGACTAAAAAAAAAGAATATACGAGGAAATTGAAGGAATACGAGAAGCAGAAGCAAAAGGAAGAGGTTAGATTATAGATGAGATTTAAGTCTAATGTACAGATTGCAGAAGCGTTCTTCCAGTACTATTGTAGCATATTCCATGTTTGGGTGTTTTTCATTTAGTGACATAAATTGACACAAGTGTTCTGTCTCTATTGCTCATTGAATGCCAAGAAAGCAGGATTGACAAAGACTAATTTTTTTTAAGAATAAAATATATTTTTTCTTAAATATGCTTTAAAGAGTAAATATGTTTTAAAGAATATTATAAAAAACATATTAAAATCATCAATCAAGTATGTTTTAAACTGTTTAAAACATGTTTTTTATCAACTCTGCAAGAAAGATAGAATGTTCATATCAATTTGTGTCATTAAATAGAAAACATCTTTTCTTTTGTATATAATGAATGATAAATTTCAACCTCAAAAAGCCTATCAAATGTCATATCTACAGTGTGATATATGATATTTCTTTTGTTACTTTTTATTAAAAATTATCGAAATTATCAGACAGTTTGAATAGTCGATATATTTATGTACGCTGTATTTATTATTACAGGAGCAATCGCAAGAACAGACAGTCAACGAGGAACTGAAAAAGTTGCAAAATTTTCTAAAAGGTGAGAAAACCATCGTATCAAGCAGTCCCAGTACATCGGATGGAGATTCGGTTTCTAATATGAAAAACGGCAAGAACAAAATGCTACCGAGTTTCTGGATACCCTCAAAGACACCAGGAGTAAAGGAAATCTCCTTACAGAAACCTGACAAGACCATTTATTGTCCTGTCAGTGGAAAGCCATTGAAAGTGAAGGATTTGATTCCGATAAAATTCACAGTGATCCAGGATCCAGATGATAAGAGATCGCTTATCGTTAAACAGGCGCGATATATGTGTCCTATCACGCACGATGTATTGGGCAACAGTGTCCCTTGCGCTGTGATAAAAACAACGTAAGAGACTTGAATAATTTTCTAACGTTGCGTGAATCACAAATAACAATTTTTGTCATGTTTAAACATTTTGTATTTGTAGCGGTGACGTAGTCACAATGGAATGTGTGGAAAAATTGATAAAAAAGGATTGGATTAATCCTTTAGATAATTCTAGATTGACACCATCTGATATAGTCCCCTTACAAAGGGTAAGTAGATATAAACAGTATTAGAATAATACAAAGAGTACATATAATACAAAGAGTAATATTCATTTTATTATTTTACAGGGAGGCACTGGTTATGCATTTGTTAATGATTCATTAGAAGGTAGACACGAAAGGCCGGTGTTACAAGCGTGAAAAGTATTTTTCGTCGCTCCATTGTATATAAATGTTTTTAATTTCATTAAGAAAATACAAGTGCTGTAAATATTTTGCTGTATTTCATTGTAGATATTTAATCAATTATAATTAAGTATTATCATTTACATAACACTTTCTATATATACTTGCATAATACCATAATACCATAATTATTTTATTTATTACATAGAAGTATGCGAGAATAGAAAAAGGAAATTACCGCTATCCCTGACGTTCTAAAAAAATAGCTAAAAACATTTGTATGTGTTTGATTTTATCCACTTACATTAAAGAAATCAAATTTAGTTTATAAGTCCGTTTACGTAAAAAAACCAAAATTTTGCTTGTAAAAGAATAAAATATAGAAGCAAGAAAGAGATTCTGAATTAAATTTCGGGATTTGCACACTGAAAAAAATTAAAAAATAAAAAACATTTATGAAACAAAAAATAAATACAAATTAAAAAAAGGCAAAAAATTTAAAGAATAAAAAGAAAATACATAATATATATAGTGTAAGTATAAGCATAATAAGAGCATATCTGTAACTTATCTTAAAATCTTTTTTTTTTTTAATTGGAAGATGAATAAAAATTAATTTTATCTTTCATTCTGCTTCATTTATAATATATCAAACATACATATAAGATAGCTTAATTTTGATTCTTAAATTATGTTAATTATTTTGCTTCTGTTTTTCTCCTTTAAATATTTATATTGTATTTATATTGTATTTGGATATGATGTGTATGATTATACGATTATATAACTCCCATTGATTGAATGGCCCAATTTCAAATACAATTTAATTTCTTCTCTGTCCGAGATCTCGGAGTGATTTCTAGTATTGTGAATACTAAGGCCTAATTCTATTAATGTAAGATTAACTTTAATTTCACTGAAATTACTCTGTTGAAATTACTGTTTCTGTCTGAAATTACTGTTTACCTCTTTATAATTTTTTGAATTAAAAAAAGATGGAAGAAAAAATTGAACTAAGATTAAAATTAATCTTACATTGATGAAATCGAGTCTCAAATTTTATTTAATAAAGTCACAAAGGGATCTAGTTGCTTTTGTACGTTCTACACTGTTAAAAATTTCATGAAATTTAGTCTATTTTCATGACAGTGCATTAAATTTAATGTATTTATAACTAAAAAGTATATATATTTATGTACATGTAATTTAATGTACACATTTATTACATTGAACTACTGTAATTTAATTTTCAGTTAAATTATTCATTACTTTTAATTTCGTTTAATTATGAGCTTCCTTTATAGCATTTCTAAAACTTTGTGTCCACGATGCTAGAAATCGATCAAGATCTGAAGAAAGAATTGACCAATCGCAATGGTCATGTGATCAAATTGTTCAAATGATTTGTTAATTTTTTCTCTGTCCGAGATTTCGGAGCGATTTCTAGCATCGTGGGCATCGGGTTTTACAGTGTATCGTTCTGAGGAGTGAGGACTGTTTTTTTTTTTAATGAATAAAAATTTTAATGGATACCGAGACGGGGATACCGAGACGGTGGCGCCATCTTGAGTGTCACGGTCTCTCGAGGGGAGGTTGCAAAGAACGCGTGCTCCGCCGGGTAAGCGGCAATCTGCGAGACGGCGCTCCGACGGTTCGCTGTCGCGCTCGTCGGGTCCGCGCGCGCGTTCGAAAGACGGAGCGTATTTCGCGTTCCGTGCGCGTGCCTGTCTTCTTCCTACTTTCGTGCGTGCGTGCGTGCGTCGTGCGTGTTTACGCGTTTTCCTCGTCGCCTGACGCAACGGAGATCCGCCACTGGAGTGTCTACCGCGCGGAGTGTTCACGCAGCGCGGGAGATCGCGCGTGTACCGAAACGCCGAACGACGACCACGACGACGACGACAACGACGACGACGACGACAGGGAGGTGAGTGCACTTAAATTTTCGCAATTCCGCGGGACGGCGACAAATCTATGCACCTCCAGTTATCATATCTGCGATGTGAAAATACCTCCGCATTTGTTTCTGTTTTTTTTTTTGTTACTTTTCTTATCTTTGCTTTCTTTCCTCGTTCGCGAAAAAGATTCGGTGTGAATCGGCAATTTTGGAACGCGGCGGCACGCGGAGGGTTTTTTGCGGCGATTCGAACGCTGGTTCGGATTGACAATTATGACACTTGCGAGGCCGATGATAAATAACTTAAGTAGGACATGTAAATGCATCGATTGCAAGTTTGTCGCGTGCGAGAGACTGTTGGGAGGAATCCGAGAAATCTCGCGAGCGCGCCACGTTTTCTAATTTAATCCCTTGTGTATGGTATTATCAGACCTGTCCTAGGTAGAACACAAACGCTTCTCCGCAAGGACACTGTACATACAATACAATGAATCATTTCGTCTTTGTTCAATATTGGCAAGCAACAAAGATGTAATGATTCATTGAGTTACACTGTTGGAAAATGCCCATAGTCGATTATTCTCTTAACATTGATTGTGATTGATCAGTTCCTTACGGTTTAAGCTTAAAAGCTTAAATATAAGGGAGTTTTTGCAATACTGTTTATCCGGATGCGATGAACGCTAAGGTCAGGTAATCTTCTTTTTAACAACTAATTAAGAAAAGGGTAACGTGACTTTAACATTCACCGCCTACCCATATTTGGATCCACATTATTGCAAATATAATAGCTTATTGTAGAAAGCCCATTAACGACAGTGTTGATATCTTTACAATGTCGTTGTGTATTTTTTTTTTATTATGTAGAATTTGCGCAACGACAGCAGAGTGTTTTTGCAATACCGTTTATCCAGATACGGTGAACATTAGGTCAGGTCATCTTCTTCTTAACAACTAATTAAGAAAAAGATAATTGTAGCGTTCACTGTATCTGAAGTCAAAATTGCAAAAACTCCCTAATATGAATAATGACATCGTTACTGTCGTTGAGAATTATGATCATTCTACAATAAGCCATCAGTAATAAATCAGAAGTTAGAAGCTAAAAATCAACCAATCACAATCTAATGTAACAAGAATAATTGACTGTGATTAGTCAATTTCTAGCTTCTGACTTCTGATTTATTACTAATGGCTTATTGTAGAATGTGTGTTATGGAATAAGAGGCTAAGTCATAATGATATTGTAGGACAGCATGACGTCATTTGTCACTTAAAAGTGAACTTATAAGTAGACAATAAAGTCATAAGACAAATAAAGTCATGATAATATTCTTATTGTATTTCCATGATTTCTATGTGTTCTACTTGAATTATCATACGCGCGGACAATAGAAATTTTTGCGAGCTATTACACGATCGTTCGAGAGGGAACGTTTCAATTCTTCGAACTGCATTTTCTTGTCTCCTTTGTTCAACGTCTGCATTACTCGCAAATTTCCTTCACGCGCAGCTTTTTACAATTTATTCGCTGCACTTTTCAGTATTTCTTTGCAGAACAGACTAATTTCAGATGGGATATATTTACTTAAAATGTCTACGAATGTACAGCTCGAATAAAGCTTGCAGCACCTGATTACACATTGAAAATTGAGAATTGCACGGAAAGAATTGTTTAATAATAATTAATTAATAGTTTCAAATTAATTAATACTATTATCAGATATCGCGTGAATCTCTGAACACATATATACAATAATAATTATTTTACAGTATTATTTTACATACTGCATAAAAAGTACATTTTTATTAAAAATTTACCTAAATACAAATTTGGAAATAATTTTGTTTGAATATCAAAATAATTATGTAGAATGTCAAACCTTTTGCAGCATTGTTTATTATGTTTGAGTTTCCTACATAATTATTTTTATGGTTCAACAAAATTATTTCCATTTAGCTAAATTTTTGGATATTTTAACAAATTAAAATAAAAATTAAAATAAAATTCTGATTAGTCGAATTCTAATGTTCAATTCGCAATCTTCGATGCACGATTATTGGCAGAATATTGGCTGAATATATTTTACAATTAATCAATGCATCGCCAATGAATTGCTACTAGGAACATAATCTGAAGCTAATATTTCATTTGTCATACAATTTTTTTTAGCGTATTAGGATGGACAGGATGGAGAAGTTCTCGAATCTCTCTATCTTATAGACATTCTTAAAAAAACTTGCTATACAATGAAATATCTATCAGCCTGATATAGAGATTTAAGGAGATTCTCTAAACTTATTAAAAAAGGATGGAAATTACATGATTTTTCTTATCTTAACATAAAAGCACGAAAAATGCAAAATGCCATCTTCTAAAAAATAAATAGTGAATAAAAAAGCAGCAAAACTATAATTTAAATAATATTTTCTATATAATAAAAATAAATTATAAAAATTAAAAAAATTATAAAAATTATAAATATTTACGTGGAAAATATTAAAAATTATAATGATTGTTTAAATTTAATGATAATTCGCAATAATTATTTAAATTAATTTACATAATTCTGATAAAAACGACGTTGCTATGTTTTCACTAGTGTAACGTTATATTTAAACAGAATTTATAAACGTTTCATAGATATTCTTACATGAAATTCATACGATGAAACTTTTTTTATCTTCAAAATGTTCTTCAAACTCTATTCTTTTATATCCATGTAATTCTTCAAAATTCTTGTATTTTAAATTTAGCGCGCAGTTTAAATAAAAGAAATGCTTATATATTAATTACAAGTTTATTCTCAACATTTGATTTGATATTCTTAATAAATTCTTACATTGTGTGAAAAGATTGGAGAACCTTTTTAAATGTGGGAGATTTTCACGATGATTATACGTCATGACATTATCGCGCGCGTGAGAGAGACGATATACGATCGCACGAGAGGATTCAGTGAACTTGGCGCGCGAGATGATCCTCATCTCGCTCTCAAATTTGAGCAAATTCCACGAATCTATTTGTTCGCAAGTGATCCATGGGTACTCGTTCCAACTTGTTGGTATTGTTGGTAGTCCACGTAATTGAGGCGAGCGAGCGAGCGGGTGAGCGAACAGTTCAATGGCTGAAGGAACCGGAGGCGACGTATCACAATATCACGTCGCGCACACAGTAGACAGTGAGATACAACGCGGCTCTTATCACCGCCGCGCGTACATTAACAGATGCATGTGCACGCGACGCATGCACCCGAGAGAACTCGTCGTAACGTTTATAATACAAACAACGCACACGCATGATTAGTGTGGTTACGCGTGCATCAACCGCGTCTCACCACATTTTTCTCAAACAAACGCATGGATTTCTTGCGATTCTTCTGGATTTCTCGTTTTTTTGAGAGATAAACGAGATCGAATCTAGGCCGATATTCATAATCTTATATGTAAGTTCGTCTTAGGTACAGCCTTAAGCTATCATGAACCAATCAAAGGCCGATTTATAGTCAGATCTTATATTCAAGTCATCATCTTAGTACAGTTTTAAGCTATCATGAACTAATAAGAGAGCCATATTAGTATCTTAAGACATTACTTAAGATCCTAAAATAAGAACAGACTATGAATACCGCCTATAATACTGCTATTGTATTTATTATAAGCAATTTTATATCCGACATCATATCTTATCTGCATGTTAATTATTCTGATTTATATGCTTAATTGCTTTTGTTTTACTAAACTTGTAACGAAATTTTATTTTCTTCTTTCAAAAAATCAAATTGGACACTCCACTGTTAAATTTACTAGTTTATTATTTATTTATAAGTACATACGTTATTATGGATGTTGTTTATTTTGAAACGAACCACCATTTTGACACACACA